GACTGCTTCTGGGACCCGATATTGGGGTGGGGGTGGGGGTGGGGGGCTAGCTCTCCCTCTTACTCTCTGGGTAGAGTCAACAATCCCAGAAGCTGATAGTGAAGAACCAGTCCCCTCCCCAGGCCCCCTCTGCAGGCCAGTCAGCCTACCCCCCTCCCCAATCCATCTCTCTCCCTTCTTCTGACACTCCTCTAGGCAGTCCTCTTAGACTGACACGCTGCCCTGAAGGCCTGCAATCTGTTGTCTGGCTGGGTCTCCTGCCTTCTCCTCAGGACTCTCCCTCTGGGTCCTGGGGTGGGAGGCGGCTGCCCTAGACCAGGCGTGGGTGCTGGACGGGGCAGATTCCACTCCTTCTGGTCCAGGAAGAGGAAGATGGCCCCACAGACTGACAGTGCAGGGCTGGGCTCTCAGCTTGGGAGGTAAAACCACCCCTGGGCGGGACTCTTCAGACCACGCCATACCCCCAGCAGCCAAGGGCGAGGCCCACTGTGCTTCCCTCCGCCTGGTGGGGGTGAGAGCAGAGGTAGGGGGAGGAGACGCTGGAGTCGATTCCAAGAATTTTGCTGGGATGACCTCGCTGTTTGGGGTGAAATGAATCAGCTGTTCCAGCACCACCACCCTGTCACCTCTCCTCCTGCCAACAGTTTCTTCCAGGCTGGTAGCACCAGCTCCCTGGGCAAAGGGGGAGGGGAGGTGTTTTATTTAGCACCAGGCCCCGCGGAGGGCAGGAGTCCTGCAGCCCCTTCTGTTCCTCACCTCTTGCCTGCACCTCTGCGTTCAGCCAGCCAGCCCTGGGGAACAGAGACTTCTACACTCGGCCCCTGGTTGTCCACCCCAGGCCAGAGGTCCCTCCCCTGAACCAGGCCGACAGCGTGGGGGCAAAGGAACTCCTCTTGAAGGAACTTTCTACTCTTCCTTCCTCCACCTTCTTGGGGCCAACTGCTACACACAACCACAGAGTTCTTCACTCCTGCTGTAACAGCAGGGCCAGAGGACATCCCTCACCCACCAGGTGGGGTAACTAAGGTCCTGCAGAGACTTCCACTGATGCTTCTCTTCCCACCAGACCCCCTCCTAACCCACACGGCACTGAACTCCAAGGCCAGCTGGGCAGGGAGCCAATAGTTGAAATGGGGGAGCCTGGGTGTGATGCAGGGGCCCCTAGCCAGCCCTGGACCATGCAGGAAGGGCTGTCGGTCCTGGGACTGGGCGGATCCCAGGCATCTCCAGGGATCCCCACTGGGAAGCTCAGCCTTCCCTGAATGGGTAGGGCGGCTCTCGGACCCCAGAATCTGACTCCCCACTCCTCCCCCCACCTCTACGTTCCTTCTTCCTCGCCTCCTGATTTGTGTCTTCGCCAGCATTAGGGACTTGGAGATCCTTTGGTTCAGGGAGGGTGAGACCATTCTTCCTAAGGGTAAGGTGAGCTTTAGTGCAGGGGTTAGTGAAGAAGGGGGAGGCTGTGGGCAGGGGGATGCTTGTTAGATGCCGTCCCCCTGCTGAGTTGTGCCGACGGGGGGCTGGGGTGCCTGGATGCCAGTTTGGGCCTCTGTGCTGAGATGGACTTTCTCTATCACGAGTCTGTATGTGTGGCTCTAGATGGCAGCCATCGAGATGGATCAGAAATGAATACAAGCACGTGTGTGTGTGTGTGTGCGCGTGTGCGCACGCACGCACACACCCCCACCCCCCCACACCCCCACATTCAGGCTGGTGGGGGTTTCTCCCCATCAGGAGTGAGGGACAACCCATAGACCGATGGACAGCGACTTCAGCTTTGGACTCTCAGCAGCCGGGAAGAAAGGCAGAGGAGAGCTAAGGGGAGCACGAGGGAACAGGGAGCGATGTTAGACAGGAGGGCAGGAGAGGGCGCTGGCTGAGGATGAAAAGGAGGAGGCAAAGAGGCATGGAGAGCAAGGGACACGGGCGAGCGAGGGAGAGACATAGCACAAAGGGAAGCATCAGGGAGCTGCCTCCAACACAAATCCAGGGAATGAAAAGGGCAGACAGCTGGGGTGCAGACAGAGGGTGCCAGAGTTTTGGTTATAAAGTGGTTTAATAGAGATTTATTTCCAAGGCTTGTTTTCCATGAAACAGTCGAAAAATACTTCACAGAAGTAGTCGCTTAAGGCTCTGTGGGGGTAAGGGCTCTCCTAGACCCCAGCAGCTGACCCCAGGCCTCCCTGACATCAGTGGGGTGTCTGAAGGGGAGGGAAGGGGGCAGTAGGGGAGGGGCCTGAGCCCCGAAGAGTAGAATAGGGACCCAGGAACCCCTATCACAAGAGGAAGGAGGGTGCTCTGTGGGGCCAGTAAGTCACCAGTGGAAAGCCAAGGGCAGGAAGGAGTCCCAGGTGGTCAGTGGTGGGGCTGGAGTCACGGGGTAGGGCCATGGCACTGGGGGTCGTGAGGTGAGAAATCAGAGAGCTGGTGTCCAAGGTCGGAAACCCACAGGCAGAGGTGTACAGGAGAATGAAGACGAAGGACAGGAGAGGCCGGGGCAATGGCGGTTAAAGGATCATGGGTCATGTGACCCAGAGCTTCAGGGGGAGAAAGGGGAGGAGGAGGAAGAGGGAGGTTGAGCCTTGGGCGAAGTTACCTGATGAGGGGGCCACGGCCACTCCACCTTGGCTGGCGCTGTCAGTGGGCAGCACTGGCTGAACCCGCACTGAGGTCCCTGCTGGGACAGTTCTTCCAGAATTCTCTTCAGAGGGGGCCTCCAGTTCCCTGGCACCCTCAGGGGCCCGTGTGGCTGGAAACAGGGCAGGGGTATCCTCAGAGCTCCCTGTCTCCTCACTCTCTCCTCGAGGGACCCCAGACAGCTCAGGACCCCCGGCCTCCTCCCCCACCTCTCTCTCCCCAACCGGAGTGGGAGGTGGTGGGGAGGCCAGTTTCCCATTCGTGGGAGTGGGCAGAGTCTCAGTGGGTGGCCCAAGGACCCTTGGAGGCCTGGGAGCCTCTGGCTCTCCATCGGGAGGTGGTGAGGCACCAGGCTGTAGGACTGGCCTCGCTGGTGGTGGGGAGGCATGCAAGAGTGACTCCTCTGGGGTTGGCTCAGTGGGGAGAGAGGCCTCTGGGTCTGGGCTGCTGAGCTCGCTGGGCCAGGCCCACAGGGCCTCCTCCTCTGCCTCCTCCTCTTCCTCCTCTTCATCTTCTTCCTCCAAAGCCTTGCCTTCCTCTTCTGAGGACCCCAGGGGAGGGACGATGGATTGGCTTTCGAATTCTAGACAAAGCATAGGTGGTTCAGCACCAGGGACAGCACCGGCCGAACGGAAGACGGAAACTGAGTGGAAGAAAGGCGGGGCTGGGGAGGGGGAATGGGAAGGGAGGCCCGCAGCGGGTGGG